ATCAGTTACTGGAGGAAGGTTCTACGATGACAATTATGGTAGTCTTCAATCTGTTTACAGGGAAAGGCCAATTCAGGGATCCTCTCCACTAATGCTTAGAATTTCATCTGGGGTCATCCTTGTGGATTCCTGGGAATTTCCCTAGTGCCAGGTTTCTCGCTAGCCCCAGAATGGCTCCCTCTATCAAGGTAATTCTTTTCTCTCCCTCTCTGTCCTTCCCCAACCTGACCATCCCATTCACTCATGGTCTCCTCCCCACCCCCAGTTTGCTCAGGAGCTCTTGTCTATTTCCCCTTCCTAGGTTGATCCATGTAGGATCTTCTTTGTTCCCTTGCATCTCTGGGTTTGGGGACTGTGACTTGGTTATCCTTTACTTTATGGCAAATATCCACTTGTGAATGAGTACATACCATATTTGTCTTCCTGGGTCTGGGTTACCTCACTCAGGTTGTTTTTTTTCCTAGGGCCATCCATTTGCCTGAAAATTTCAAGATGTCGTTGGTTTTTAATGCTCCATTGTGTAAATGTGTCATGTTTTCTTTATCCATTTTTCAGTTGAGGTGCATCTAGGTTTTTCTCCAGGTTCTGGTTATTACAAATAATTATGCTATGAATAATTTGCTGTGTTGAGCAAATGTCCTTGTGGTTTGAGTGTGCATCTTTTGGGTATATGCCCAAGTGTTACTGCGGATCTTGAGGTAGACTGATTCCCAATTGTCTGAGAAACTGCCATGCTGATTTCCAAAGTGGTTGTACAAGTTTGCACTCCCACCAGCAATGAGGGAGTGTTCCCCTTACTCTATAACCTCTGGCATAAGCTGTTATCAGTGTTTTTAATCTTAGTCATTCTGATAGGTGTAAGATGGTATCTCATAATTGTTTTGATTTGCATTTCCCTGATGGCTAAGGACGGTGAGCAATTCCTTAAATGCCTTTTAGCCATTTGAGTTTAACCTGTCTTTTAAAGTCTTTATTTGCTGAACTTCTCCCTCTACCCAAACAAAATATTCCATGCAAACTCTCCCAATAGCTCTCACCCTGCAATAGCTCCATTTGTTCCTGACGTATCTGCCAAAAGACCTTTTAGATGCTCTGGGGAAACTCTACCTGAAAGGGTCCTTCCACCTTTTTACCCTTGGTCAGACACAATTCTTCACTTTAGTTCTTGAATTTTCTCCTGTGCCCTCCTTTGCTCTCTTGTTCCCTGCCACTTCTGCTAATTCTTTCTGGTGCAGCCATCCTGGCAATGGGACCGGTCACTTTCACCCTGAGTCAACTCTATGCCCACTTCCTCTCAGCATCCCGCTCTATTCCTGCCTATCCTTCGACCTTCCCAGAACAATATATCAGTTTTACTCTGTAAACAGACCACCTGCCTTACAACCATCTAATAATTGTTTTCCAAGTCCCTTCAGGAATGTAGGATGGACTGTCTGATCCATTTTAGTGGATCAAGTTGAGACTCCTGCCCACCCCCAAGCTAAAGGACCATCCAACAACAACAACAACAAAAAAACAGTTATAACATTCCTGCCTTGCATTTTTACAGCCTCTCGGCGTTCTGATTTCAGTGTCCTTGAGGATTACCGATGTCATTCCCACCTCTATAAGGAGCCACCTCCCATCTTCCTCTGTAGACATTTCAACCATTTGCCCATATGGGTGACAAAAGTGCACCCTGCCCATGAGTATACACAGTCCCACCTAAGGTCAAACCAAATAAAACATCTCTTTATTTCCATGTTCCCTCTCTCCACAACTGCTCTTTAAATAATCTAACACACACTACCCCCAACTTATCTGGGTATTTAATGGACTCTGCCAAAATACCAATACTTTTCACAGAAAGAAAAATTTTTGAACCACAAAAGATTCCCAAATAGCTAAAGTATTCTGAACAAAGTTGTAGGTATGACAATATCTGTTTTCAAAACATACTAGAAATTGACATGAATCAAAACAACAACTAAAGACAGCCTGTGGTGGTGCAGGCCCATAATCCTAGCCCTTGGAAGGCGGATCTCTATGAGTTCAAGGCCAGGCTGATCTACACAGCTAAAAAACCCCAGCCACTTAAAACCAGACTCATAAACTAGTTGAAAAGAGAACCCAGAGTGTAAATCATGTTTTTAAAGCCAGCTGATGTCAATAAAAGCAGTAAAATCACACCGTGGAAAAAGTACTATCCTTTTATGAAAGGATCTGAGAAAACTGGAAATCTATATGCAAAGTATAGAAACTGGACACCTATTTTCTGCTGTGCATAAAAGTCAATGGAAAATGGATCAGGACTTAAATGTTAGACAGGAAAACCCCCGAAGACAACATAAGGAAATATTTGGACACTGGTCTGAACAGTTTTTTTTTTAATTACCCAGAAAGCATGAGTAACCAAGGCAAAAGTGAATGTTGAGTCTTTACTGAGCTAAGCATGTTTTGATACAACAAAGAAAAAAAAAAGACAACAACAACATCATAAAATGATGGCCACAGAACTGGAGGTAGGATGGTAGATCATTTGTTGTATAATGGACTAAGTTTTAGAATGTATAAGGGACTCAAGTCAGTTTTTGAAACACCCATGCCCACACATAACCCAAATAAAAACGGAACTGCCAAAAAGCATAAGGAAAATGCCCAGCATCCTAAATCTTCAGGGAGATGAACAAAAGCACAACAGGATATCCAATGATAGAGATGGGGGAGACGGAGAAGAGGGACAATGACAGGGATGGGTAGAAAGGGATAAAGTGGGGACAAGGATGCAGAGAAAGGCAAATTCTCAAGTTCGCACAGACTGTGGAAAACACAATGTAGTTCCTAAAACTGAAAGTAAACCACCATATGGCCCAGTGGTCCATTACTGGGCATATATCCAGAAAGAATGGAAATGCTCTGTGAAACACTCTGAACTCTCATGCTTACTGAATTAGCATTCTTAATCGCAAAGATATTGTGATGGGTGAATGAATAAAAATGTCACGGATCCAGTTAAACATTCTTCAGTTATAAAAATAATGAAATAGTGGCATTTACAGAAACATGAATGGTACTGGAGGACATTATGTCTATCAAGGGAAGTAAGTTGGTAAAGAAATACAGATGGCATATGTTGTTACTGTTATCCAGAAGCTAAAATGCTAGTATTTAAAAAGGTAAGGATTGAAACATGTGAGCGTTTCGGGCGGATGGGGATGGAACAGGAATGGGTCAGGTATTCTGGCACTTGGGAGTCACAGAATACTGAGTGTTACACAGCTCAGGTGGAAAGGTATCCTGGAGCTCGGGAGCCAAGGATACTGAGTGTTACACAGCTCAGGTGGAAAGGTGTCCTGGAGCTCGGGAGCCAAGGACCACCACAGGTTGCAGTAAGCTTAGCTGCTTACAGCCTCAGACTATGGGGTGGGCATTTCTCATCTAAACCACCACAGCGTCATTAACCGTTTTCGAAGAATATTCAAATACATTTAAAAGTACAACTGAAATTATTCTGCCATTCCTACCTATGAAATTTACTGTTAATGACGTTATTCCATGAGGGACTATAGGCTTGGTTTGTTGTTTTAAGAATATCTGATATAATGTACTACAGTTTTCATTTTCCTTTTACTATGAATTAATTTCACGCACAAATACATTCGTGTGTGTGTGTGTGTGTAGACCACTTAGGTGGAGAACCTAGTTGGGGTGAAATGGCTACAGACACTGATTATAACTGGGTGCGGGGATCAACTGTAGTGGGATTTGTTTTGGGGATGAGTCAGTTCTCAGAAGTAGAAAGGTAGCATTCAAGAGTATTGAAAAACCAACCCCAGTGTGAGTATTCAGTGAATACTTACTGACCTTCACTAGCAGTTGGGGTAGACTGTGAAGATTCAGGAGTAAACATCGGCCATGATTTAAATCATTTCTTGTCCTTTCATAGTTTACCACGTTTTTATAAGTAAACAAAACACAGAAGTCCTCTGCAGTAACCAAATGCAGCTACTTAATGATGGTCAACTGTTACTCGTTATCTCCTATAAGCTGACAGACAAATTTCCATCTGCTTGTTAAGTTTGTCCTCTTACGTTATAATTTTGAGATAGGAGTTATCATCGGTAGTCCATCCGGGTTATCGTTTCCCTGGCCTGCCTCTGACTGCTGGGTTTTGCCTTGTGGCAATCAATCCCGAGTCACCTGTAAACACAACCTTCTCGGCCATCTCCAGTTTGCTTTTTAGCCACCTCAAGGGCATCTTAAAACGTGTGCTTTTGATGTCTGTCGGAGGGAGGGGGTGTAAAGTCACACCGAGGCCTGTCACTGCCAGTTGAAGCTTGTGGAGATCTCCCTGCCCAAGGATCCAGTCTGTGTGTGTAAGGACTGGGCCAGGGGTGGGTGGAGAGAGACCGCGAGGGCCGGCACAAGTCCTGCGTCCTCCCAGCGGGTCTGGGCATGGTGGTGGCAGCGGCCGCCTGGGACACTCTGTCCCTCTGGCTTGGCTCACTTTGGGGGGAAGGAAGCCGCCTTCCCACAAGGCGACTCATTCTAACGGGTTTCCCGTCGGATTCCTGCTTCCACGAGGCGCAGGACGCGGGGGAATGAAAAAGGAGGTGGGCCCAGAGGACAGGGGTTAGGGCAGCGGGAGAAGGATGCGCACGGATCTCCTCCCGCCCGCCAGGGGTGGGGAACCGAGCACAGGAGCGCGAGGACCTTCAACTCAGACCGCAGCCCCGGCGCCCCGCCCACCCCGCCCCGCCCCGCCCTGGCGCCCCGCCCACCGCCCCTCCCGGAAGGGGCGGCCCCTCCTCCTTCCCTTTCCCCTCCCCCTCCTCCTCCCGCGACCCAACCGACCTGCGCGCGCCTCAGGCCCCGCAGCCGAGCGCCGAGCGCCCGATCCGTTGCTCGTGGCTCCACCCGCCGTTGTGTGAGGTGCGCGGGCCGCGGGCGAGCAGACGGGGAGGGAGGAAGAGAGGGACGGAGGGAGGAAGGGAGGGAGGGGGGAAGGGAAGCCGCCCCTCGCCGCCAGTGCCCGGATGGAAGCCGGCGCGCAGCGGAGCGGGCTCGGGGAAGCTCTCTCGGTTCTGCTGCCTCCTCTCCGGGACTTTTTCCCCCGCAGTGCCCCGGGGGTTCAGAGTGCAAGCTGAGCCGCTCGCTCTCAACTCCTTTTGCATAAATGAGGTTTGGGGGAAGTTTTTTTTTTCTTAACTCGGAGCCTCTTTTTTTTTCTTCCCGCGCAGAAAGCCCATAGCCCGCCATGGAGCGTGCCTTTACCCCGCTGGAGCCCCTGCTACCCACGGGTACTGTATCATCCCCTTCCCGGAGGTGCTGCTGCTGCTGCCCGTGCTCCACCCCGGCCTCCCGTGTTCTCCCGCCTCGTGGGCAGGCCACCCAGCCTCCCACGCGGCCTCTGGTTCCCCTGTGTGGAAAGCGGACACTGAGTATTAGTCTTCGCCCCATAGACCCTTTGTGAGGGCCCAGGGAGGAGGTGACAGAGTTTTGTGTCCTCCTGACCCGGTGTTCCTAGAGTTAACAAACGCCTGAGATGCCAAACACATAACTCCCAGCAGCTCAACCTTCCACACTGCAGGGGGAAAAACAAAATCAAAAACCCAAAACATGAGGGACAGGGAGAACTGCCTGCTGTCAGGGACGCATTTCTAGTCACCTGAGAAATAGCCTGAACTTAGTACAAGAGTAGCAAACGGTTATCTAAAAGTCTGAAAGGTTTAACGCTAAGGATTTCAATTATAATTGTGTGTGTGTGTGTGTGTGTGTGTGTGTGTGTGTGTGTGTGCGTGTGTGTGTGTGCGCGCGTGCTGGGGATCGAACCCGGAGCCTTGAGCCCGCTAGACAAATACTTTCATCAGTAAACTGAATTCCCAACCTCAAGGATTTGTATTTCTCAAACTTTTAAATATTGCCCTCCACGTGTGTGTCGAATGAGTTGAGTTAGTAGCATTTATTCTAATGTAAATTGTGAGGCTAGATGTATTTAGTTTTCAAATTGGTTTTCCTATCTATTGTGTGTGTGTGTGTGTGTGTGTGTGTGTGTGTGTGTGTGTGTGTATAGGCACATGTGCAGATGTCAACCCTGAGTGTCATCCTTCAGGCCCTGATCACTTTGTTTTCTCTCGCTCACTGGCCTGGAAATAATTGATTAGGCTAGGCTTGCTGGCCGGCCAATGGATAGGATCCCCTGTGGCCACCTCCCTAGAGCTAGCATTAAGTGCCCATCACTATGCCATGTATTTGTATGTGGGTTCTGAGGTTGAACTCAGCTCTCCCTGCTCTCCTGACTGAACTGTCTCCCCGGCCCCTATTTGCCAATTACTGCTTATTGTGTTTGCACTGTGTGGGATTTTGGGTTAATCATCGGTTTCAGAAGAAAGCATCGTTTTTGGAATGGCCTTTAGTTTTTACAAGCTCGTGAATTCAGGGGTCTTGTTCTGAGGTTTGAATTTGATTTTTGCTTATCACCAGTACATCCTGGGAGTGCTGGTAGGAAAATCCAAAGGTTACAGTACTAGCAGTAGGTGACATTGACTTCTTAGTCTTAGTCATTCATTGTGCTCATGTACCCCTTAAGGGCTGAGATGGTTTCCAGTAAACGTAGGGCTATGTGAGTCTTGAAACTGTGAACATGCAGGAGTCTTGTCTGTACATACTAAGAGAGCTACCATGTCACTAGTGCATGTGCTGTTGGGGAACCACCCTTGTATACATACAGTGCATCATCGATACATTTTTACCATACACACACACACACACACACACACACACACACACACACACAGGAAAAGAATGAAAGAATGAGGATTAAAACTTTTTTTTTTTTGGTTTTTCGAGACAGGGTTTCTCTGTATTGCTTTGGAGTCTGGCCTGGAACTCGCTCTGCAGACCAGGCTGGCCTCGAACTCACAGAGATCCGCCTGCCTCTGCCTCCCGAGTGCTGGGATTAAAAGCATGCGCCACCAACGCCCGGCTCATTTTTGTTTCTTCCTAAACTTGATTATAATGTTTCCTGTTTGTTACTATAAACAGTTTTTCAGACATCAAGCATCGCAACATCTTGCAAATTAAATTTCACAGTTCTTAATTACCTAATAATGGCAGAGCCAACAGCATCTCCAAAACTAAACATTTGATCCCGGTGGACTTACTGACCTTCAGATGTCTTAACTAAAATGTGAGGATGTTACTGTCCAGAGACGGCCAGTGCTCTCTGTCTTGAAGAAAGAGCCACGGGGTGAGTGCTTTAGATGACCCTGAAGCATTGGAGTCTCTAGATTGCCATTTTAGTCCTGCTGCCTCGTGGTTCCCATCCTCATGGTTCCCGTCTGCCCAGCAGAGATACATCTCGAGGCTCCTGGGACTACCATCAGCTAATACCCTTAAAGCGGTGAAACTCATAGCAGATTGAGTAACAAACAGAGAGACAGTGGCTGTGGGAGTTCAGGGTCGGTGCGGAGACAGAAATGGCAGTGTCCAGGAAGTTCAGGGTTGCCTTCATTTCTATTACGTACTCAGCAGGGAAGCCTTGGCTCCTCTGTTTGGAACATTTCTAAGTTGACACTGCAGCAAGGTTTGTAATGCTGTGGTATCCCGTGTCAAGTACAAAACCTCAAGAGACAGAAGCCAGTGCTCCTGTGGTGGTTCTCAGAACTTCTTCCTCTGCAGATTCCTGTCTCCTTTCTAGCCTTGGCCATGAAACAAGGTTCCAGGCATGATTCTGTTGACTTTTGATGTAGTAAAACTGAGTACGCTATGAGACCACTGCAGTGCCTAATTCTTTATAGTAATTTAAGAAGTATTGGAGGGCCGCTCGTTGGTGGCACACAGCTTTAATCCCAGCACTCGGGAGGCAGAGGCAGGCGGATCTCTGTGAGTTCGAGGCCAGCCTGGTCTACAAGAACGAGTTCCAGGACAGCCTCCAAAGCAATACAGAGAAACCCTGTCTCGAAAAACCAAAAAAAAAAAAAAAAAAAAAAGAGTAGTATTGGAGTTTATTTTTTATTGAAGGGATTTTTTTTTAAAATCAAGCAAATAAAGCCTTCTTGAAACTGCTAATATTTTATGGTAGTCTTCTGGAAATAGCTGTTACTACTCATTTCAAACAAAATGGATATATATTATAAATTATTTTACAGATGCCTATTTTAGAAAACTGAGTTTATATATATACATATATATGTGTGTGTGTAATATATTTATATACATATATAAATACTTCAAATGTCACATGAACTCCCTGTTAATTTTCTTTCTGAACAAAATGGAAATATTCCTAAGTGAACAGCCCATTCTGCTTAGCAGAAATGACCATTCTAAAAAGTCAAGTGGTAACCGGAGACTCAGCTTACAGGAAAGCATGTGCTCTGCATGTATGTGGCCTGTGCTCTATCCTCACTGTTAAAAACAAACAACTTGATATGTTCTTCTGAACTGTGAGTTTGAATACTTCAGTAACTAAACTTAGAAAATAACTTTATACCTCCTCTCTGCCAATTTTTCACTGACTTCTTTGTTGTGGATCATATAGAGAAATATCCTAAGTCATTTCTCTCTCCTTCCCCTCCCTCCCTCCCTCCCCCTCCCTCCCTCCCTCCCTCCTTCTTTGTCATTTATATTCCAGAGACAGCATCCTAGCCTGGGGTCCTCTTAGCTCTTCCTGTGGAGATTACAGATGCTTATGCAGCCCCCACCCGATCCTGTGTGGGGTTGGGGATCCAGTCTAGGGCTTTGCATGTTAGGAAAGTACCCTACTAACTGAGCTAAATCTCCAGACCCAGACCGTGTTTTGTGTTTTTATTATTTGCAATATACATTTTAAATTGGCCTTTTTTGTTTGTTTGTTTGTTTGTTTTACGAGACAGGGTTTCTCTGTATTGTTTTGGAGGCTGTCGGTCCAGCCCGGCCTCGAACTCACAGAGATCTGCCTGCCTCTGCCTCCCGAGTGCTGGGATTAAAGGCTTGCGCCACCACCGCCAGGCAAATTAGTCTTTTCTTAAGAGTCATATTATTTGTAGTTTGTATGGTACAATTGGTACCTTGATAACAACGGTTCTGAAACTTTATGCAGATGTATCACTTGGATAAATTCTTAGACAGGAGATGGAAGGTGGAAGGTATTTGTACCTTCCTAAGGTCAGGAGGAATAGTGAGCTAACTAGCGCTTTTCTCTTGTTACTGGGTGCTGTGGGCAATCCAGAAGTGAAAGACTGTGTTTCCTACCAGGTGTGCACTGCCTAGTGCAAGAAGAAAGCAAGATGGATTCCATTGAGACGTTAAACTGCAGGACTTATGTGTGAAGCCCAGGGTCTCCAGAGAGCTGGTTAGGGAAGGCAGGACTAGACAAAGCAGTCATGGTTGAGCAGACCATGTCTGCATTTCTAAAGGGGCATGGGATTTAATTGGTGAGTGGCACAGGAAAGGCAGAGGTACTTTGCAAGGGAAGGGGCCAGCCTTAGAGAAGGTGAGTGCTACACACACACACACACACACACACACACACACACACACACACACACACACACACACACAGGATAGTACTCACATAAAATAGTGGCTTTGTGAAGAGATCTGATGCTGCTGGGGATGTGATGAGGGATTGAGAGTAGTTGAGAGATGGCTAAAAGCAGGAAATGGAGACCAGGGAACTGTTTCAAGGAAGGGGTTAGAAAACATTTGAAGGCTTCTGTGCATTCCTCACTTGGGACAGTCCATAGAAAACAGTCTTTAGAGTACCCTACAGCTCAAGTAATTCACGCTACCCTCAGCTAGGTACATACTTAACATCCCCTCACTTGGGAGGCTGAAGCAGGAGGTTTGCAGAAAAGAAAACATATCATGCGTGGTTCTTTAGTCACTGACTACAGACATGTATCTGTCCGCAGAGACCTAGGCATGAAGTGGCCATAAGCTTGTAAAGGAGCTGAAAATTTCCCATTGGGTAGTGTTTGGAAACACAAATATCTCCTGACTTAGAGTTGCCTGTGGCAATCAGTGTCATGTTGTATGAGCTTGTCATGTAGGAGCAAAAGGCTTTGCCATCTAGATTTGTGTGAGTATACTCCGATATTCCCATGATGAGACATCAGGAGGTTTTTGTAAATCTTACCTTGGTCTTGCAGGCCCTCCAGTGTCTGACTCTTGGTTCTTCTGCTCTTCACTCTCTGTCC